GAGTAGTGTATTGACGACCAACTTGACCCTTTACAATAGCCCATAACAACTCGATTGGCTGCAAGTCGGAGTGACGGGGTGGTGTGTACAACACCGTGTGACCCTTGGTCTGTGCCATTGACAAAATTTCAGGAACCACAGTGCCCTCAGTATGCTTTGCCAGAGTAGCCCAAAGCACAGTCTTTAGGCAATCGTCATTGCATGGTAAACCATAAGATTTACAAGCCGCAAAAAGGTCTGCTTTTTTCCAGTTTGACTTAGGAGTTCCAAGTGGGAGACCTTTGTGATACTTGGCGTTGTCGAGAATAATTGTGGCGCCAAAAATTCTGTTGTCGTCTAACTCCACCAGTAGTTTGGCAACCACTCCACAATATAGGTGTGATTAAACATGCCGTGGTAGTCTTTTGTTTCTTTTTTCCCAGTCTCTTTTCCACCTTCAAAAATATCCAATGCCAACAATTTGGAGTCGGTGCCACCAATATCCGCAATTGCTGCAATAAAGCAAAATCAGCGACCTTTGTTGGAAGCTTTGACATGAAGGTCCTGCTCGTCGTTTGGATCATAAAGCGAGTCTTTGTGCCGAGAATAGTGATGATGAATGTACGACTCATCCAAATACACAAAATCGCGCGACATTCTTTAGCCAATAATCCCACCATTGTCTGAACATAAATGTCCCGAGCCAGAACATTTTTTGGCGACAATTTGTAAAATGACACACCATGTATTTTTCCACGCTCATAAACCATAGTGAACCAAAAAGCATTGAACAGAGCGCAAGCATGCGTTGTAGTCTTTCTGGTTTTACATGTCAAAGTCCACATACCCACGCCCATAAAGTAGGCCCAAAACGTCACGACCAACAGTACGGGTGCGTGTTTCGCGACGCTGTCGAACAAACTGCTGCACAAGAGCCACTACACACTGGACATGCGGTACTCGGGTCGCACGTGGGCCATGGTTGTAGGGCACAGAAGCAACAACAACACTCTTTTCGGCAACGTAGTCGGACCAAACCTGTTTGACAATCTTTTCACTCCTGCCCAGCAGACGAGCGATGTGAGTCTGGACATACTGCACACCCGAGAAGCGAAAGTAGGCATGGAGCCGGAGAATGTCAAGTCTCTCCTCTTTTGTCAAGGCACGTGGTCGCTGCAACTTGACGAAATCAGCGATGATATCAAACTCGGACTGGATCATGGCAAATTGGCAACTGGTCTATTCTTGTGGATGGATTCCTAGAGGTTGTCCTGTATAACGATTGTTCCACGTCGACCCTGAAATTTTATGCTGTGCTCATCACGAGTAAACCAATGCAGATCCATTGCGACTCTCTTGCGCTGCTTGTTTGGAGGCACGGTAAGCACTTCTTGTCTGGCATGATCCCTTGTCTTCACCCAGCCATCGCTTTCGACAGAGTACGGCACACTGTTCGCCTAGGCTACCTCCCAACGACGCAGCATCCGCGGAAGCGACAATGGCCAGATGCCACAGGAACGAAACCCGTTCACAACAGGCAAGTTCTCTTTGATACCAATGTTCGTGCTAGGGAACAAAACATTGAACGCCTCGTCAGCGATTTTGATGGCTTCGTCCCGTGGCAACGATGTCGTGTT